TTGAAAAGCATGGTTACATACAACAATAAGTGTACAATCATCGTGAAGTAAGATTGTTCAAGACAAATATGCCTAGAAGAATATTTTTATCGGTGAAAGAAAACAGAGCCTTGGGATTGAAGGTCTCGACAACCCCACGTTGTTTTCAAGAGGAAATGCAACTGGAACTGCACAGCCAAGTCTCTGTTGGTTTATCAGCTTACGATTTAATAGCACTTAAAGGTTACTCTAAGGAGACGCTGCCTTTTGTGTGGCGTTTAAACAAAACAGCTTGGATAGAAGTTGTGTTTTGAACCCTACTTTTACAATGAATTCTACCTTAAAGTGCAGATTTATTGTAGAGAGATAAATAAGCTTTAGAACATTCTGTTGACATGACAGCATGAGTGTAATTTTTGAAGATGTTTGGTATAAAAATTTTCAAAAGTTCGGTTTACCATTCCTAGAGCAGTCCTGTGGAGCGTTTCCATTGGCCGATAAAACGGATCTTAAAAGTATTGAAGCTGCCCAAATTGAGAAAGTCCAGAATTGGAATACAAGTGCCTACCTTCTTCATTCTGAGGACACTTTTCCTTTCTTTGCTCTGCGGACTGTAATTTATGACAGTGCAGACTTTAATGCAGTCGATTTGGTTATGGAAACAACTTTAGAATCCCTCCCATTATTGTATGAGAAATGGTTAGATCTTAGGGAAAATGAAGGTGCTGGAAACAGAATATGTCTTCGAATTAAGAAATAGTATTACAGAAAAGTAGAGAATTAGCCACCGAGAAAATGGAAGAGACAAAAGGAAAAAAATGTTAGGACAAAAATGCCATAGAAAGGGAATTCCAGTAACGAGATGCCGTATTAGCGTTGATATTTTTCTCATCAAACTCCTCTGTAATCCAACCAATACAGGAAGGCGTTATTGCAAATGTTGAGATCTATTATGTGCTTAAAATATTTTCCCAACTGGAAAAAGCTAGTTGATCCCAGCTGGTTGATTTCAACAACAAATTATTGATAGACTGAGCAAGGACAGAGGTTATACAATCCTGCGTGAGAGGGGTGTGGTTGAAGATCTAGCTGGAATTTTCTTGCTCCAGTGAAAACTAGTTTTCAAATTTAAAAGCATGGTATTCATTGACATGATAACATCTATCCGATTTGAGGATTGATAGAAACCTTCAGTATATTAACAATGCAGTTAAGGTTATTGAGGAGAATTATTCAAATACCGATGGAAGTAGCAAAGCTTCTAGGAAACTTGAAAATTCTCTGTCCTTCTACAGGGTTTTTCATACATTATGGGGAAAACTTGGAGGGGTGGTGGAAGTACTAAAACATGCATTTTTTATAGAAATGTAGGGTCTAAAATGACGAGTTAAGGCAGGAACGGAAAAAAAAAAAAAAGACACGAGAGGAAAATATGTTTATGTACAAAATCAACGCAAAGTGCTTCTTTGCAGCAATACAGTATTCACAATAAATGTTCAAAATTGCGATCACCAGCAGTAATACATGCTTGGTAACGTCGCAGAAGGGATTGACGAACATTTTGCAAAACGACAGGCATTTCGGTACGCTTGCAGCCGCAATGTATAGTCGTGCAACGAGGTCCTCCAGAGAGTCAACGGGAGTCTCGTAAAAGATGCTTTTCAGATGGCCCCATAAAAAAAATACAAGCTGGATAAATCTGGCGAACGGGTCCACCACGGTTAATCCATCAGCCCGGAAATGTCCCATCCAAGTAATTGTGGACCCGCACGTGGTTATTGGCTGGTGAACCATCATGCTGGAACCACATGCGATCACGAACGACAGCCGGAACATCCTGTAGATATTCCGGTAGCACCTCTTGCAGAAAAATATGATAACATAAGCCATTTGTACTTGCAGGTAAGAGGTATAGGCCTATGAGGTAATCGTCAACAATACCCGCCCACACCTTCACGGAGAAGCAGGTTTGGAATGCATGTGGACGTGTGTCGTGTGGATTATGAGTTGCCCACACATGCATGTTGTGGCTATTGAAGATGCCGTCCTGTGAGAAAGTTGCCTCGTCCGTGAATAGCACATCCGATGGGAAATCCGCCTGCGCCGCACACTGCTGCAAGAACCAATGACAGAAATGAACTCGAAGAGGGTAATCTGTCTCTTACAAGGTTTAGACTCTCTGCAAATGGTATGGGTGCAAACCATTTTCACGCAATACTCTCCAAACCATATAATGACTCATCTGCAGACGACGTGCAATAGCTCTTGTATTTGTCTGAGGGGATTCATGCACAATGTTCAAGATGGGTTCTTCAATGCGAGGTTTTCGTGCACTTCTTCTTCCACTCCTAGTGTCAGAGGTAGCTACAAACGACCCGTTTTCACACAGAGACCGATGCAACTTCTCGAACATTGTGTGCTTCGGCATACGCCTGTTCGTAAACCGTTCCTGGTACGACCGTAGGGCTGCTCTGCCGTTTCCATTAGCAGCACCATACATGAAATGCATGTCAGCTTTTTCCCTGTGCGTAAACTCACCCATCACGCTCGACATCAGAGTTGCGAATGATCCTCTGATGCATCGGATCGTGGTTTCTCCGGCTCACTACCGCTGCATTGCCATCCAATCACAACGTAGTTCCTATAACTGTTAGCGTTCTCTTTTTTGAACATTTATTGTGAATACTGTATTGCTGCAAAGAATCACTTTGCGTTGATTTTGTACATAAACACATTTTCCTCTCGTGTCGTTTTTTTTTTTTTTTTTTTTTTCGTTCTTGCCTTAACCCGTCACTTTAGACCCTTCATTCCTATACAAAAAATGCATGTTTTAGTACGCTCCACCATCCCTCCAAGTTTATCTCATGATCAATGAAACACCCTGTATAAACAACTGTACAAATAAGGGAAGAATACTACCAGTCAACTGCGTGTAGACCATTTTCTAACAAAAATACTCATCAGCATTTAAAACCAAGACTTTTAATAGAGCAAGAAAGTGATCCTGTCTCGCCAGAACCAATTCTTTTTCATGTAATGAAAATCTGCTAGCTTACATATTTTTGCATAATTTTATTGTTAACAAACTAATATTTCATTGCAAAGATTAAATTTTAGTTACTATCCCCTTTTCAAACTACGAATATGTTACTGCGGTTTAAAACCAATAACATATGCGTAGTTTGAAAAGGGGATAGTCACTTAGGCGATTTTGCGTTACTCGATGATTCATCTGAGCAACTAATTGCATAATACGAAAAATACCTGTACAATCCTGATATGTTAGAGCTATTTTTATGAATGGAAGACATCAATATTGGTAAAACGTTATAAGGTATTTATCCCGTCTTCGTAGCGTGGTTATGCACCTTCGTGGTGTAGTGGTTATGCGCGCTGGGCCGGTATTCCGGAGGTTCGTCGTTTGATTCCCGGCGAAGGCAGTTGCTAATTTTTCATCTTTCCGGCTTCCAAAAATCCTAATGTCTCTACAGTGGCGCCCGAACTAAAAGGGTTGCTGGATGATGATTCTTCGCACCCAGATTTGGCGATTGGATTCCCTAAAACAAGTATATAAAGTATTTTCCCCCGCCTTCATAGCGTGCCTTCGTGGTGTAGTGGTTCTGCACGCTGGGCCGGTATTCCAGAGGTCCGTGATTCGATTCCCGGCGAAGGCGGTTGCTAATTTTTCATCTTTCCGGCTTCCAAAAATCCTAATGTCTCTACAGTGGCGCCCGAACTAAAAGGGTTGCTGGATGATGATTCTTCGCACCCAGATTTGGCGATTGGATTCCCTAAAACAAGTATATAAAGTATTTCCCCCGCCTTCATAGCGTGCCTTCGTGGTGTAGTGGTTCTGCACGCTGGGCCGGTATTGCAGAGGTCCGTGATTCGATTCCCGGCGAAGGCGGTTGCTAATTTTTCATCTCTCCGGCTTTCAAAAAATCCTAATGTCTCTACAACGTTCTACAAAAATTTTACACAAACAAGCCAACAAATATTTGAACATTTTTACACAAACTACTAACAATGCATGAATAAAATATAAACTCGTTCATATTCAACAAGCAACTGTAAATTTTTATAAAAGTTTATTACAAAAAATTTGATCCCATCAACATATCAGGTATTACTCATTCATAAAGTAATAATGAAAGCGATAAATATTTAGTAAATCAATGAAATTTAGTAAATCAATCATGGTAGTGGGGTAATGAATGCAGTAACTATCACTCAGATGTAAAAATTTGCGCCAAAGTGCAATTAATTAAAGCTCAATTTCAAATGCTGATGAGTATTTTCTAAAAAAAAAAATACTCATCAGCATAAAACCAAGATTTTTAATAGAACAAGAAAGTGATCCTGTCTCGCCAGAACCAATTTCTTTTCATGAAACCAAAGCCTGCTAGCTTACATATTTTTGCATAATTTTATTGTTAACAATATAATATTTCATTGCAAAGATTAAATTTTAGTTACTATTCTACGCATATATTATTGCATATGTTATTGCATACGCACTACGCATATGTTATTGCGGGTGAAAACTAATTCACTTTAGGCGTTTTTGTGTTACTCGATGATTCATCTGAGCGAACTAATTGCATAATACGAAGAATACCTGTACAATCCTGATATGTTAGAGCTATTTTCATGGATAGAAAACGTCAATATTGGTAAAACGTTTCTACAAAAATTTTACACGAATAAGCCAAAAAATATTTGAACATTTTTACACAAATTACTAACAATGTATAAATAATATATAAAGTAGTGCATATTCAACAAGAATCTGTAAATTTTTATAAAAATTTATTACGAAAAATATAATCCCATCAACATATCGGGTATTACTCATTCATAAAGTAATAATAAAAGTGATGAATATTTAGTAGATCAAGCATATGGTAATGGTAATGGGAATGCAGTAACTATGTCTCAGATGTAAAAATTTGCGCCAAAGGGCAATTAATTAAAGCTCAATTTTAATGCTAAGAAGACTAACTGATATTATAAAATCTTACCATCCTGTAAGTTGGGTTTAAAGTCTTGCACCAAAGTATTGCTAGCTCTTCTTTTGATAGTTGATGATCCGTTTGCATGCAATATTTCCATGGTATCAAGGCCTGTCAAATAATCATAGAATAAAAGATAATTTCTCCTCAGGTCCATAACAATTTATTTTTGCAATTTCTTCTCTATTCTAAATGAAACATTTACATATGAAACAATTGTAACCTAGGCTTTCACCTTTTCATCATTCTATATTATGTTACCTCGGCATTGTTCATTCTTGTATTTTAACAAATTAGCAGTTCTGAAAACTGGCATCCTCCGTAAAATCTTTAATTTATTTCTTAAATTATAACAGTGCATTTACTTTCCATTATAACAAATTAAAAAAGAAATTTATGAAAATGTTAGTAATTTTTATCTTACATTGTTACATTCCAAAAATATTTTATTATATATAAATTAAAATATAACTAATGCCTAACAACGAATAAATGATTGTTGTATACCCTTTTTACTTCCTTCTACCTCTTTTTACTGCTTTGTAAATATTGTAACCGCAAAAATTTCGGGTATCATATTTCAACGAAAATATTAATTTTAACCACTCTCGAAGCAATCTGAATGATTTTTTTTGCGTGACATCTGTATGTACGGACAGAATAAAGGACACTTTTTTCCAAAAAGGTATGTAAAATGGATTCAAAAGATATTTTTTACGTGACGTTTGTACGTATGTATGTATCTCACATAATTCAAAAACGAGTAGCAGTAGAACGCTGAAATTTTGTGTATGGGACTGCTATAACATATAGTTCTGCACCTCCTTTTTTTTGCAATCGTACTAATGCAAATCAAAATTATAATTTAAAATGCCTCTTAATTGCTCATTTTTAATTTGAGTACTTTTTCTCTAGTAATAACTTTCTCTAAACTGCGTCATATCTAAAACGTATTCCCCATTATGTCATCTTGAAACTTCTGCATTGCCTATACGTTTTAGACAATCAGAATTAACGGAAAATTTTACTATATATCGTTGCAGTCCTACTACCCTCCCTCTTTCTCTGCCTATGCTTGCTGGCTGAAGGACGTCTCTTGCTTGGCTGCTTTTGTTAAAAATGTGATGCGCCATCATCAGAATTGTGAAGTGCAAAATGTAATAAAGATATATCTGGAATATCAAGTGGTTTTCTGATTCTTCAAAAGTTCCCGCCATCTTCGGCTAAGTAGTGGATATTTTCAGTTATCTTCTAATCTTCAATCCACTCGCGACTGCAAAAATAATGTCTTCTCTAGTTAAGCACTCATCTCGCATCATTTAAAGGCATTTAACTTAGTAAATCTTATCATTACATATTATATGCCTGAATGTATATTTATACTGCCCACCAAAAGTTAAGGAACAACATGCGTTTTGTGTCTAATTTAAGAGCGAAGCAACATAGAAACAAAAAAATTACAGTACATGTTCACTAAACAGTTCTTTAATGAATGCGACATAGAATGTTTATAAAGTTCAACATAAACATGAATTACAAGAAAAAATTGTACTCTTGGCAGAGAAAACCAGTCTTGGAGAAACAGTATATCACAGATATTTTGAGGAAAATGGGGTGGTAACGTTACAAAACTGGGTTCTAAAAAGGAATGTGTCCACCCCTAGTTGCAATGCATTCATGGCAACCTAGTTGCAATACACTGAAGTTCCATACTGTCAATTAAGTTGGTCAGTGAAATGGGAAGCAAGGACTAGACACGGAGTAATCTTTGTTCAAGCACATCTAACGATCTTGGGGGAGGACTTAAAGCAACAATCGTCTCCTAAGGTAGTCCGAAAGATGCTCTATCGGATTCAGGCCTGGAAATTGAACTGGCCGTTTCATTCGCTCCATAGCGAGACGCTCAAGATATTCTTCAGCAACCCGAGCTCGGTGCGGTCGCGCATTGTCGTCTATCAGAAGAAATCCAGGACCTATAGCAGCGGCATATGTCCGGACATATTGATCAAGGATCCCTTCTCGATATCTCACACCGGTCAAAGTTCTTTCATGTAACACATACAGGTCAGTGGAAGCACTGAGAAAGACCCCAGCCCAAGCCATTATTGGTTACATCTTTGTTTCCTCCAGATCAGCTCACGACCTGAATGTGTCTCCAATGTGAACCTGGACTCTTCTGTCAAGAGAACAGACAGCTATTGTTAACTGGTCCAGGAGACGTGTTCTCTTGCTCAACATAAGCGGGAACCTCTGTATCCTCGGTTCAAGAGGACACAAACAGCTGATAGTTTTGCATACAGAACTGTATTGCGCAGGCGTCTGCCCACTGTAGTAGCTGAGATTCTTGTTCCTGTTGCCACTAAATGATCTCCCATGAGCTGAGGCACAATAATGTTAGTCCTCCTTTGGACTGAAAGAGCTAAATAACTGTCTCCCGCGGGTATTGTAACCCTAGGTCTGCCTGGAACATGTCTTCTAGACACAGAATACTAGGATTCAAACTGATTCCATAGTCGGTGGACCCCTCTACGAGAGACAATGAGGCGTCTAGCAGCATCAGCTTGTGAAATCTCCATTTCCATCCATCCGACCACCCGCCACCTCAACGAATCGCGCAAAAGACTTCTCCTGGAGACTGATAGAACCTCCTGAATATTGTCCACGAAACTTGAATAACAACTAAAGATCAACACTCATGAACAAAAATTACAATTTTTGCATTTACTTTTATATAACTCCTACATAAGTATTCCTATATAAGTATTCCTACATAAGTTTCCCATATAAGTATTCATTTCTATAAAATAAAAGTGGTAACTATTGATTCTGCATATATTTTTATAAACTTCGTTACTTTCATGTGTATGAACTGTGAATTTAAATGTTACTGACATTTTTATAATGATGAGTTTTGAAAAACATGCTCTTCCTTAATATTTGGAGGCCAATGTGTGTATGTATATCCACCCTCTTACCCGGCTTAGTAAGTTCTGTTTTCATTCTTATTATGTTGGTAAATGTACATATCTTGCTTTAAAAGTTGTTAAATTATGTTGTTCTTATGTTTCGGTTAGAGGTTTTGTACCTTTACTTAATTTGTATGCAATGCTTGTAAAATTACCAACAGTTTAAAAGTGGCGCTAGGCCTAAAGAGGCCACCATTTATATTTATTTGAGGCTCTTAGTAGAGTAGTGAATTAGGTCAGTTGGTGAACCAACTGTAGTGTTTTTTTTTTTTTTTTTTTTTCCCAGTGGGACCCAAAGGTAATTTTCAATTTTGCGCAATGAAAATTTGGTCTTCCTGCTCATTGTCCGAATTACTTTTTTTTTACGTAGAAACTTTAATTTTAATTGTAAATACATCTAACTGTTTTTAATTGTATTTGGCGTTTTAGTCTTTTCTGTATTTTATAATTTTTCATGAAGACGTTTGGAGTTTTTATCTATTTTTGTCTTGCCGCGAAATGAAGGCTGAGTTAATTGGGTGAGAATTATATCTCTAACGAAATTCGAGGAAATACGTTTAAATCAAGTGCAATAAAAAATGTGTGTAACTTAATAGATCCTACAAGGAAGCCGTGTGATGTACACATCAGGTATTTTTAGTCGTTATATAATCAAATTTCTAAGCATTCGGGAGAACCTGATGCAGGTTCGTCTGATTCAAAGCGTAAAAAAGCTATGTTTTGAAATAGGGATATTTCTGCTCTCTGAAGAAAATGAAGCGTCAATTTTAGACTTTCTGATTGACACTCGAATTAACTGTATTACATTCAATGAAATTTGGTAGCGTCAGTCGTAATTGTTTTTAGAGTAAAAATTTTAATTTTTCACTATACCATTTATGTGTTTTCAGGAAAATGTAAGTACATACATATAAAGAAATTAACTTATTCTCTCCCTTATTTGAATCAAATTTAGAATTTGTTTTATTTCATGAAAGGTTTTTCAGGTAAGTAGAGTCCGGCAATGTAGAAGACTAAGAGACAGAGTCGTAGCTAGGGTTTTCAGCGCCCACAGGTGCAAGTAAAGATTTCGCGCCCCCTAGTGCTTGCCAAGGATGTAAAACATTTAATTCTAAAATGTCGTAACATCAATTTGGCGCCCCTTGGTTTCTGCGCCCAGGAACAGATGTCCCCCCTTGCCCCCTACGCCCCTGCTAAGAGACTGTCAAATTTTACGGAGTAAGGGGTCGGATTTTCAGAACTCTTAATATTTAACTGTAAATAACTCTACACATTTGTAGCAGAATATTGGACACGAAAAAGTACAGCATACAATTAAATTAATGTTGATTTTTTAATGTCAAATTCTAGCACAATAGGAGTCATAAAAAGAACAAATACCCTAAGATAATTAAGTAAAAAAAAACTTACATACAAAAATGAAGAAATATTATTCGTGGTAGAAAAATATCGTGAGATGGTAGATTGTATCTAACACTCACTTCGTCGTCATGCAGCTTCATCCCTTAGGCGGCGGAGGAACAAAATGTCCATACCAGATGCACCTTGCTCCTTCGTGTAACGGAGCATCCCTTCAGCGGCCTTTAGTCGTACACTATAGGTAAGCATTTTAGCTTTTCCGTTGTCTTCAATGTCTTCATTTTTTTATGCATCTTCCTTTTTATCCGCATTGTCTTTAACCAGTACAACTATTTCTGCATGTCCTAAAATTTCCCAATTTTCATCTTGTCCCATCCATTCTTCAATATCACCATCACAAACTTCTTCGCATCCTAGAATTTTTTTAAGTAAGTCAAGTATTTTACAATTTTCAGTATCTTCTTTGCTTTTGCGAAATTTATTTTCTGAACAGTCCAGTAACTTTCTCCAGGAACGAACGAGGGTTATCTGCTCGATTTCACTCCAATAATGAGCTATCCATACAACAACATCCAACATATCTATTTTCATTAACTTCTCGATCATATTACACCCTTCCTCCATGATTAGGACAATAGATGAAAGAAGTTTCCGTCTACATTTTTTCTTTAATGCCCCCAAAATACTCTGGTCCATCGGCTGACACACTGAAGTTATGTTAGGAGGGAGAAGAGGGCTTTTATGTCTTCGTCTCCTGACTATTCTGCATCAGGATGGGATGAGGCA